GTAAAACAGACGGAGATGCCTCGCTTTGGGAGAGCAATATGAGTATTAAAGAGGAGCGAATATCATCCCAAAAAAACACAAACCAAGCTTCATCTAAGAATAAAGCATCCTTACAAAAACTTGATATGCAAACAATATCCTATACCCGCTCATCAATTTCAAGAAAATTTCCATAAAATACTAAACTTACCATTTTGTGAACAATATCAGCTATAAAAGATGATTCAGCGAACTACAAGAAAGAAACTTAATATGGGCCATGACACAGATCCAAATCAGTGACCTAATACAGATGCACATAACCTGAGAAACTTGCACCATATACCCCCGCTTCAGTTGGTTTTCCAAAAGTTCCAACCTTCCATCCAAAATCTTGCACAGCCATTAAAGGACCAAGCCTATATCAACAACTGAAAATTAAAACTAAAAAGCAAAACTATGCCTGATGTTTAAGAATAGCAACTAATGATACTAAAAGGTTTAGCAACTCCACCAGCCTTCCAGTCTTCAAAAAACTGGATGCATTGATGCTGCCCAGGTTCTAAAAATAAACCAATACACAAACTAATACGTATTGTGCTGGATATAAAATGAATTTCATAAACTATCTTTTTCCATAAACAAAAATTGAAGCTTATTCACTCTTACAACAGTCCGCCAGCTTCTCAAACAGATTCAGCCATAATTTCCTCTTCTGCCAAAGGCTTCTTCCACTAAATTGTATTGCATGATTCTCGCTCATATTTCTCAGCTATCCATCACCGAACACAATCCTTAATGACACTTATGTTTACCAAAAAAGTTTAATTTCTTTAGAAGCATTAGTGAACTTAAACCATAACCAAGCCTTCCATACCACTTTCCACATAGGCTATCCTAAATTACGAATATATCTAAGCAATTGATGAGTCTTGGAAGTGAAACAGCAAGTAGATAAGAAGAAAAATACAAAAACCAAATATTAGGGCTGATTTTTTTTTATATGTTTGACAAATAATGAAAGATACAATTGATCTACTATTCGAGAGGTAGATCGGCACTTCCACAAACCCTAGGCACCACTAGAAACAACTCCAAAGAAAAACTAATGAAAATAAAACCACCCAATTAACTCTAATATAAACCTTCCTACTTCCCTCTTAAATCTGAATTCAAATCAACCATTTTTTCCTAAATAAAAATTTCCTATTTCTCAATCAATCAAATCAGTAATCTTTCATTCTTTCCCTAAACAAACTTTTTTATTTCCCTCTCAATCAGATCAGCCCTTTTCCCCTAAATAAACATTTCTTAATTTCCTCCAAATCAAATATGTCCTCTTTCCCTAAATAAACATTTCCTAATTAGTTCCCCTTAATTCCTCCTCCTTCCATAATGAATAATAAATCTCCTAGGCCCCACAATGGCGTATCAATACCACCCCCCCCCCCAAAAAAAAAAACACACACACCTTATCCTCAAGGTGGAAGGATGAGATTTGTCTCTTGATCATCTCGTATGGCTCCATGTGGCTTAGTCCGTCTTTCTTGACAGTGCATTTGCGGCTTGTTCTCCAGTCCTGGGTGATACTAGATCTCAAAATCATAACTAAGTAACTTGGATAACCACCTTTGATGCTCTTCAATCACCATCATCCGCTCCAGCCAAAACTTCAGACTCATTTGGTCTATCCTAACAATAAAGTGTTGCCCAAACAAATAAGGTTGTCATTTTTGGATGGCTATAACAATTGCCATCAACTCTAGCTCGTATACGAACTTAAGCCCCTCCCTAGTTGCGAGCACCTAGCTGAAATAAGTAATGGGTTGATGTTCTTGCATGAGTACTACCCCTAGTTCGTATTCTGATGCATCTGTATTCAGCACAAATGATCTCCCCCTCCCCTCCCCTCCCCTCCCCCTATTGAAATCATCCTTTTTTAGTTGCATTGTCAGTAACCATGCTATCATGTCATACCCTCGCATAAACTTCTGGTAGTACCTGATGAGACCTAAAACCCTCTCGACTCCTTCGAGTTCTTCGATAAAGATCAATCCAACATAGCTTCAATCATGGATTGATTTACTATTACCCCTGCTCTGCTCACCACATATCCTAGATACTCCACCTGTGACTGTGCAAAAGAACATTTCTTTATAATGGCATCTAGCTGGTGCTGCCTCAAAGTCTCCAGTACAGTCCTCAGGTGATCCACATGCTCTGCCTCCATACGACTGTATATTGGGATGGCATAAAAAAATACTAAGACGAATTTCCTTAGACAGGGTTGAAAAACCCAATTCAAAATGGATTGAAAAATGACTAGAGCGTTGGTAAGGCCGAAGGCATCACAAAAAAACTCATTATAATATGGTGGTACCCGACTTCAGGTCAATCTTCGAGAAGATGACCGCCCCAACAACTCATCAATCACTAGGATAGTAAACTTGTCCAACATAGTTTCTTTGTTTAGGGCCCTATAATCCACACAAAACCTCTAACTGTCGTCATTCATTCTCACAAGTAAAACTAGGCTTGAAAAGAAGCTCACACTGGGCCAAATAATCCCTGCCTCATCTCTCTGATGAGCCTCTCTACCGCATCTTTCTGAATCTGCAGGCATCGGTACAATTGAACACTGATAGGAGAAGCTCCCTCTTTCAGGGTAATGGCATACTCGTGCTCCTTGTGAAGTGATAATTTATTAGGCTGCTGAAAAACCACAGGAAACTTCTTTAGAAAATGATGTACACACTTAGGTACCTTGACCGGATCTAAATCTCAAACCTCCTCTAGGCTCTGCAACTCCACCAAGTAACCCAACCCTACTCCCTGTATTGCATTGACCATATTTTTTGAGTGAAACAATGGCTATGCATAAGATGGCATCTCCTCACAGCACCACCCTCTTCCCCTCCACCTGGATCTCCATAGTTAAAGATTTCCAGTCCACCTACGTCTCCCCGATCATCTGTAACCACTTTATCCCTAGGATCACATCAGTGCTCTCCAAATCCAAGAGAAGAAAATCCTCCACCATTTGTATAACATGGTATTCTTTGGGAGATCTACCCAAGGGAAGTAACCCTTTGGAGTCATGATGAGGACAAGGAAGGTGGAGTGGAGTAGCCCATAGTAGTCGAGCACCCTACCACCTCCACCACCAAATTTCCTCGTTGTCCCCCTCATCAAGAAACCCTAATATGCCCCTTATTGTAGCCCTATAAGGTGGCTCTTGATGAAAGAAATTTCTATCATCTGATCTCCTTTCCCTTATATTCGGCCAAGGGAATTCCAAGCAAATATTGGTCAGGGTTAGCAATCGAAACCACCAGTTAATTTTGTATTGCATCTCCATAAATTTTCATATCTGAAAACCTTCCTTTGATGGTTGAGAACTCCTCCATCCCGAATTTGATTTGCTCCACTTCGCCTCCCAATGCATCAACCTTCTTTGTTGTCATCTCTCCAAAATCTTGCTCTAATACCATACCTGTTAACGGCGAATGGTGCACCACGACACAAAGATCCCTTTGGAGCCATGGCGCATAGGGCACGGCATAGCGCGCGCCATTTTGAACATGACGCAAACTATATAAGAATTATAAAATAATAAGCATGAATATGAAATATTATTAAAAATGAAAGATAAGCTATCAAAGAGATAAGAATTCACATTGAAAGTCCTCACACCTTCCTCCTCTCATATAGAGTCCAATGTCTCCCAATCAAAGCGTACACTCATGAAGAAAACTTATACAAAGCATGCACTGATGAAGAAGCAGACTAACACTAACAACTATTACTAAAGATGATGAATACAATAATATGTCGGGCTGCCGGGGGTCCAAGGGGGCGTTGCCCCCTGGCAGGGTTCGACCTGTAAGAGTAATTTTGAAGTTTTGCTTATTTTTAAAGTTCGCAAGTCGTTTGTATGGAAAGATACCTAGCGGTACCGAGCATGTACATAGCGGTACCGAGCATGTACCTAGCGGTACCAAGCATGTACATTAATATGGAACTAATTTGCATATAAAGAATGAACATGCATCCAATTAAACTTCAAAATATGGTCAGAGACTATATGAGCAGCCATACAAAATACAGTCAAAATTAAAAAAAAAATTAACAAAAAGGAAGTTATTAATTTAATGATTTATCATCGACTAAGACTTACTAAATTATTTTTAAAAAATAAATCAAATTAAATTAAATAGGCAAATTGTATTCAAGAAAAAGGATGTCAAATACTGAACCACCAAAATAGCCAATTATTATAAACTCGCTAAAACCAAAAGATGTAAAATAATAAAAATGACAAGGAACAGCATAATAGCAATGAGTACAACAAAAGTTAATCAAAACTATCATACAACATTCATTCCAATCAAGCAAGAGAAAACAAACCAATTCTATAGCATCAAAAAGTGCAATAATTAACAACAACATCATCAAACCTTTATCCTACTATGTGGGGTCGGACACATTAATCATTTTTTCTCCATTGTACCACGTTTAAATCTAAGAAAGAAAATGTCATTTCTAATGTTTTCTAAATTCTAACCAAGTCTTTTTAAGTCTTCATCTACCTTTCTTAATATAAGTTAAATTTAATACATCTACTCTCCTAACCGGGTCATCGGAAGACCGCCATTATTTGTGTTCAAACCATCTAAAAGAGACTCTCTCTAATCTTATCTTCCACTCAAGCTACTCCAACCTTTTCCCGTATATGCTCGTTTCATATCCTGTCTCTAAAAGTAAAGCCACTCATCCACCTGAGCATCCTCACCACTGCAACACTTAACTTAATATTATGTTTCTCTTTTAATGGCCAACATTTTGCACCATAAAGCATTGCAGGTTTCACCACCATCTTACAGAATTTTCCCTTAATTTTGGGGGACTATTCTATCACGCAACAAGTCCGATGCATTCCTCCACTTCAACCATCCAACTTGATAAGAAGCACAATACCTAAGAGACATTTAAAATAGGTAAGCTTTTCAGTAATGTCAAACCTGCCGCACACAATGCACTGCAACGGCCCATTCTTCCCGTCCTCTAAATAATTCATCCTACGTGTTGGGTTCTCGTTGATGCTCTTGGACAACCTTAGAAAGGCATCCTTCAATGCCTTCTGATCCACATCACTAGCCATCAGAGATTCATTTCCTTCTGCACGTACCCGCCGAGCTGGCAAATCATCATAGCCTTCACTCCCCAACTTTACCTGCTTCGACAGTCTCAAGTCATCGATATGCTCCTTTCTAGAAGGGCTGCCAGCCCTGCCCAAGCCATCACCGATTGACCCTGAAGAAAAACCCATCGGATTCGCAGCAGAGCTTCCGTGCTGCAGCGCTTGCTGCCGATGCCAAGCAAATTCTTCTTCCCCGTACTTACGCTTCAGCGAGGACGACCCGGGAGGACCCGCGGGCCCCTCGATCCCGAGGGAAGACCCGTAGTCAGCGCCGCGGGCGAACGGAGGTGGCTCGCGGAAGCCTTCGGGGCCGAAAGACGGATGGAAGCGCGGATCGAAACCTTGCGGGTGAGCAGAATGGAAGAACTTATCGCCGCGGGTATCCATCTGGTAATCAGGAGGGAGAGCGAAGTAGGAGCGGGCCGTGCCGTCGGCAAGTACGATGGTGCGGCGCTCGAGGTTGTGGAAGCCATATGGAGGATGAGGTGGAGACGAAGCCGCATTAAGATGGTGCAACGACGGCGGGAGAGTTGCGGCGGGATGGCTTGGGCCGGTTGGAGGTTTCGTCGGCCCGGAGGAGGGCCCTGGAATGTCTTCCTTGGAAGGGGTGGAATCGGAGGGAGCTTTGCGCTCGGAGGGAGCGTTTTTGGATGATTCCCAATGGAATTTCCGTCTGTCGGCGCTGACGGGAGCAGTGGCGGAGGATGTCTTCTGGGAGGAAGCCCTTGCACCGGCGTGCTTAGGGTTTTTCATGGCGTGCTACAATTTGGGATTTCCAGGCGAGGTCGCTAATACACGATATATGTATAGAGATGGGTTCTCGGGTGGGAAGTAGGGTTAGAGCTTTGGCTATGAGTTTAGAAGTTTTAGATTTGAGTCTTATTTATACAAAGAGTAGATTAATTTGTATTAATTGATTTAAATATCTTAACAAATTTAAAGAATATATCAATTATTTATTATTTTTAAAATACTCAAAATTCAATTGAGATCAAAATATCTATTTTTATTAAAAATATGTATTTAAACCCTAGTTCAACAATTATGTTAGCACATCAACCTTTTTTTTAAGGAACGGTGGTATATACCCGCTGTCATCCCCTTAGGAGGGGTTTGATGACGTAACTAATCCCTCGACGAGTCTACTAGCAACCAGCTCTACATATGCAAAACCTGCAGTTATTTTCTACCCACTAATGGAGTCGGCAACGGCTGATCAACTGTTATGACTGCAGGATTACGATTTCCATTAATATACTTTAATACATTAAAATAATTATAAAGTATTTCACTTATTAAGATTTCATTTAAAATACATGTTGTGTTATCTCTTACTCTTCTATTTAGTTAGTTAAAGCACCTAATTGCTCTTATATTATAAAGTATTGCACTCATCTTGTCCCAACGAATGAGTTGTCATATTTGCACAAACACTATGTTCCTGTCCATAAGCATGTGTCAGTCATTTCCTTTTGTATGCAATGAGTTTCATGTATGTTGTGGACCTTCGATAGAGCACTGTTATGGCTAGAGGATTACGGAAGGCATACGACCGCATCCACCCCGAAGGATAGAGACGATCGCGGGCCTCCGCGCTTTTCGCAAATGGGCCAAGTAGAAGGGACATATTGGACCATACATACGATTAACCATGGAGGATAGCAGCTCTCGCCTACGCACCTCGATGGGTAATAATATATATGGCCTAATCACAGTCACGGGTTTCCACCACCCGATACATCCGCTCGGATGGGGTTTAGTAGATGGTGGAATTCAGTTTCCCACATGCGCAAGCCCCCGTGGTTAATTACATCCCAAGCTGAAGCCCGAGAAGACTCTCGATTAAGGATTATATATTATCTTTCCCAAAATGAGATCGGCACAAGGGTGTAGACTAGAAAGTCATACTCAAAAGGAAGAAAGGTCCGACTTGGCTCAAACCACATGCAGGGTTCACACCATCATTCGGAAGATCTAGGGTACTAAAGAAAAACTTGAGAAAATGAAGGCAGGCAATCGACACATGCGTGAGAGAAAAGATGGAGGTGGCGTCATCCTGTGACGCGGATAAGTAGGATTTATAGTCCCTGAAGAATAGGGAACTTACCTATTATTTAGGCGTACTACGAGACCGAGTGTAGTAGCCTTGAATCCTAAATATAAGTTGGGTTTAGTGTTCTATGAGGGCTAAGCGGTCCACCTGTAGCAGTTAATATTAATTATTTTAGCCCTCATTTATTTAGGGGGGGGGAGGCTGGGCAAGCATCTGCACAAAACATCATTAGAAATCATGACATTTGCCCCCCTAGCATTGCATGAGCATGTCCACCTGTAAGAGAAGCAATATATATCATCCCTAACATAGGGGTAGATTTAATGCTCATCACATCAATCCACATTGCAGTAAAAGAAAGCAAACACATCATCAATTCATCACAACATGCAGTGAAAACACGGAAAACCCGACACACAACAGAAAAAGAAACACCGGCCTAGCCTAAATATAGAAGTTGTGCCCTAACAAATAATTTTATGTGTGTGTAAGGTTTGTGTGGCTTTGGATAGGTCCTATGTAGGATGATTAGTTCAAATTGCCAGAGGTTAGAATTTGTTAAAGGCTAGAAAAGGAAATTATTAGTTAAAGTTCAAATATTAATGTATCAGGGGACACTTAAGTTAATTTAGTTTGTTAATCAATTTTAAATGCTTAGGGTAGTGATATTTGAATTTTAAATTATATTATCCAATTTTGGAAAGTCTCGGGTCCTCCTAGGTACTGGGTTGAGGGGGGTCCAAAAGGTCACTATGGGAAATATGTTAGGTCTGAGGTTCCTAAAATTTTAGGTAAATACTAGACCTTAAGGTGAGTAGTTAGACAGGTAGTTAGCTAGATTTTGAGCTTCCTATGCAAAGTTATGAATTTTGGAAGTTTTGGGCCCTAGACTATAGGCTGAGGTTGACGAGAAAGTTGGCTTTTTTATTTAAGTTAGTTTCTGGAATCCTAATATTTTTAATGAATACTATAACCTAATTGGAGTTGAATGCTATTGAGTTTTCCTAATTTGGAATTTTCTACAATTAGTCAAGGTTTTGAAAACCGGACCGGACAACGAACCGGAACAAGGAGAGGTTCACGGTTCGACCGGTCTAACCGGGGTTGAACCGGATGATGTAATAAATAATAAGTATTATTTAAATTTAATACAAGTAAACAAAAAAATAATGTTATCATTCAAAGTATGAGATAAAAAATTAAATTAAAAAAAACTATGAAACATAAAAACTTATATAATTAAGTAAAATAATTATTTTAAAATCTCACATAAAAGCAAAAAAAATTTAAATCTCATAATTATAAGAATTTACACTCATAAAAATATGATAATTTTAAATTTGAATATTTTTCAAATTTTTAATTTAATTTATATATAACCATATAAGTTAATATATATTATTATTAATTTATGTTACATATTTAATATAAATTTAATTCTAACATAAGTTTATAAATTTAATATAAATTATTCTTATTTTATATTATATGATTAAATATATTTTACATGTTTATGATATATTGTATACAAAAGTTATTTTATAAATTTATATCTAAAATCATTAATAAATAAATAAAATTATTAATGATAAATTATTTTTTATTATGTATAAATAAATAAATTTTTATTATTAACTAATAAATAATTATCACTCACATAAAAAATAATTAATTAAAAAATCTGTTTAAAAATAGGTTTTATATCCATTATATATGCTATGAACTCATACACTCCTCATCTCTTTTCTTTAGTCCCACATCCCTTAGAAACACTTTCTTGCTATTGTTTATATAGCATATTTAGATTCCTTGCACCAAGGGAGCACATGGGAGGTCATGTGAAGATGTGTCATGATGCTTTGAGTACAAAAGTGCTTATTATATAAAGTGTATTTAACTTTAATTAAATGTTTTTAATATATATTAATTTATTTATTTAAAAAAATACTTAAAATTTGTGAGATTTGAACCGGCCGGTTCAAAAATAACCGGACCGGTTCACCGGTTCGCGGTTGAACCGGCCGGTTCTGACCGGTTCAGTCCGGTTCTTTGCAGAAGCGGTTTTAGGGCTGAACCGG